TTCATCTATGAAACACGGACACGACATGACAACACGATACAAGATAATTGAGAAAACCAGGATGACACTTCATGGACATGTTTTATATTTAATTAATTATTAATATGGAATATATAGATTTTTTTTATTCTTTATTAAAATATTATAATAAAAATCATGCAAGAAAAAAATTTAACTTCATAAATTTAATTTATATTATAAAACCTATTCCTTGTGAAAATTATTTTTTTAAATTAGATATGTTATGTTTCAAAACAATTCATTCAACTTATCTATTAAAAACTTAAAAAAAAATTATGATTATAAAGAGGAAAGTACTAATGCTCACCTGTGAAAATTATATGCGCATTCGATGCTTGAGTTTAACGAATGATAAAGGGAGTTTTAACATGTTGAGAGATGGGACAATTTCGACAATGAGATATAATTAAAACTATATCTATAATTATAATTTTCTAATTTCGATATCGCAATTTCTTGAAATTGTGTTAAACTCACATTCGATGTAGTGTTGAGGTGTGTTATAGACGTGTTTGGGCTAAAAAAAATTCTAACATATATTTTGTTATGTCGAATAAGTGATGAGACTTGTCAAACAAGTGTCAGTGTTCAATATGTGTCTGCACAAGTACGACATATTTTTAGAAGTGCAGGTCCTACATGACTTTTCATAGTGTATGTTGTTATTTCATTTGCATGCATGATTAGTTTAAATATGTTCTTTGAGTGTAATTTTTTTAATTCTTTAGTCAATTGGCTTTAATTTCTCTTGTTTATTTTTTATAACTTTTTTGAATGTGAACAAGTTCAATCTTTTCATCATAATTAAGGAGCTTATTTCAGCTATTTGTGGTTATGCGAATTTTTGTTAGCCTCCATCTTTTTTATTCATATTAATTTGTCTAATGTTATTAAATGCAATAATCCAATCATTTGGATGTTTAGGTAAGAGTGAGACAAGAATAGCAACTCTCATCTCCCAATTGAGCACCTTCACTCATGAGATTAAATAGCTAGGCTAACTCTTTATTTTGACGTTTATAATTTGAGATAAGATTGTTGTGGAACATTAGTTGGAAAATTAATGATAGACGCTAAGAAAAGAGTTTGATTAATTTTGTGTTCAAAAACTTCAATTCATAAATAATAAATCTTTGAGATTAAGAGTTTGTTTGGGGTACCTGCAACTTATTAAGTAGTTGCTGAAGAATAATGATGTTGCAAAAAACAGTGGTGACCATTGTTTTTTTTTTAAAGTCAAACCGCAATTAGAAAGCTGTCACCGCACCTAGCCAGCACCAGTGGGAAAATGCTGATTTTAGCGCAGTTGTATTTCATTTGTATTTCAGCTATACTTTGATGAGATCTCTGAGCTAACCATCAGCGAGTCTGAATCTAATTTTGTATGAATTGATTGAAAACTAATGCTTACCATGTAATTTGAAAATTTTGTAAGCGTAACGTAAAAGGAAAAATGAATTTTTCCTTAATAGGATGAACAGACCGGAACATTTCTTTTAGGTTGTAGCTGTTGGAAAAACCTATTATTATGGTTGACAGTCAGCAATACCAATTTTTACGCCATTACTGAAACATACAAGTCCATGAAATTGCTGAGAAATCTTGAAGCACGAATTAAGGAGGACTTCTTTTCTATTGCCAAAAAATTGGACTCTGATGACTAATGCCAAAGCATGCAAGACCGATCACGGAGTTTGAGGAAGTTGTTGTAAAGCTAAAGGATCACGCGGTGCTACTTTAGACTCTCCTAATATGACAAGAACTGAAAGTGAAGGGATATAGGGTATTTGAAATCTCCTATCTGTTTTTTTATTATTATTATTATTTTTTTATTGTAAGATTTACTTCCGTACCACTCAATTCTTATGTATTTACAAATCTAACAAATATACTATATATATATATATATATATATATATATCGCTTTGCCTATGCATGAAAAGATGTATTCTTTGTGCACTTTTTCTGTGTCATATATGCTCATCACTTATTATCTTGCTTTTAATAATAAGGGTAAACGTCATTATTATCATGCAAGTTTTGGTATAGAAGCATAGTTAAGCCTACTTGTGCAGCTAAAATGTGGATTAAGTTGTTATTAAGGATGTATGTAATTAAATTACACTGTTAGCAGTCATTGCTTAAACCTATTTTTGCTAAAACAGACTACTGGCTCTCTTTACTTCTGGGCTGCCCATTTAACTGGTCCAATATGGTGACCATTTGCTTCTTGGTGCAGTGCATGGCTGGAGACAGTTGGTCTTATTGCTGGAATTGGTACACATGTTGAGCTTCACTTTGATTATGTGTTATAAATCTTCAATGCAATATCTAAATGCATTTTTTTACATTTTGGATGTGTTAAAATGTATTAAGATGTATTAAGATGCTCATAGATAGCAATTTCTTTTTCTTTGTTTATTGTGGCAGTAGATGTATTAAGATGCTCATAATAAAATTCATCTACCAATAGTAAAATGGGAGCATCTAAAATCCATGATATCAAAGTAATTTATTCACTAATAATTGAACTGAAATATAATCATTGCGGTAATTCATCTTAGAATGGATATAAACTACAAATAAATCTAATAAATGACTTTACAAACTTAAGCAACTTTCCAAGCTACTTGAAGTACATGCCTCTAAGATCTTCTTTCATTCATGCATAACTAATAACGTAAAATTATAACAATAATAGGCTTTAATTTGTAAGAAATAAAATTATTAGACAAAATATATTGGGAAAAGTATAAATTACAAGATGGCATAAATATAGAAGTTAAAGTTTAGGTGCTAGATATCTAAATACATATGGGAATTAAGTTGTATGTATGTAAAACTTTTATTTTCTGAATCTACCATGTCACTCTTTTTCGTCTTTTTGCAGTTGAAGAAGAAAAGCAATTCCAAACCAGCGATGGCCGAACCGTCCACAGCTTCTGTAGACATAGGCGAAGGAATGGTTGTGAAGGACAACGAAAATGAAAAGAACATTAAAGTCTCGAACACGGCGACAACTCAGGATGCAGCCTCTAAAATCAGCCCCCAAAAAGGTGGGAAAGGAACTTTCCAAAAGAACACTGTCAATGTTAAAAATGACAAATGTAGATCTCGTAAGAAGAGCATTTGGAAGCGAAAATCTCAACATATAGTCGGCGATCAAAATAACGGAAAAGACCTACACCGCCCGAGCATGGCCAATGCAAGAAAGAAGAGCAAATTTCCATCAAGAGAAGAAATTTCACGAGCCAGGTAAGGTCTCACACCTCTCCAATTTCCTTGCTTAAAAATCTCTATTTGTTCTATTAAAAAAGAATTACTTTAATTGTTATGTAACTTTAAGAAACCATGGTAATAATGTGCCAAAACATATTGTGATATTCAAAAAAGGAGACTTTTGCTTACCAATTGCCTAAAACTTTGAATATAACGGCTATTTTTCTCTCACTCACACTATCTTATGAATATACCTCCTTTATATTCCTTTTTTGTGGTATTTTCATACATACCCATCCCATGTATTTATATATCTAACACCTATACTTTACCTTTTACATTTATAGTGCCAAAATATTTCATGTCACATAAAAATTACCATTTTTTAAAAATTTTACCGACCTTTATTCAAATTTGTGCTGATGTTTTATAGGGAAGAGAAGAGAAGAGCCCTGAAGAAGCAGAAGATTTAAACTGCAATAGAATAGAGTTCAAATCTGAAGGCTTAAATTGATTTTTGTACTAGAATTAACTAATTTGTTTATGATTTTCTTAGAAGCAAAGTTTTGAATTGTAATAATGATTTTTGTCTCTGTGTATGTTGGATATTTGTGCAATATATGTGTTTTAATTCAATCATACCCCATGATTTTTATCTTTTCCACAATTTTTTCACGTTAAAAAACTTTGTCCTCTTATGATTTTTTTTTTAATCTGTGTGCATGTTGGATATTTGTGCAATATTAAGATTTTAAATTATCATTACATTCTTGTAAATTTTCTAGCATGCAACGATAGAAAAAAAAAATTAATTTTTATTTTTAACCCAAGTTAAACCATTTAATCTCTTAATTAAACCATGAAACTTTTAACATCCTCTTCTTTTGGTTCAATATTTGGTCTGATTTTTAAAATAATTATTATAATTTTTTATTAATGCTAATAGATTTATAGCGAGTTATAAGTTGAACAAAGGGCTCAAAATTACTTTGTTTCAATTCATGGATCAAAGGGCTCAATAAGGAAAAAAAATTAGGCTAGAATATCATATATAAATTATATTAAAATGGCCTTAAAAATTATTAAATTTATTTTGAGAATAATACTGCTTATATGGGTTATAATGCATATTGCCTACTTATATGATAATCATTTTTTGTGATTTGTTCGGTTCTAGAGCTGATGTATGATCAAGCAACTTTGAAAGAAAAACTATAGAAATTATGATAAAGCTGATCAAGCAATTGTTTATGGGGCTATGAGACATTCATATTTCTTATATATTTTTATATCCAAGGCCTAAACATTCATAACCTTCAATTATTTTCTAAAAAATATCATCATTAATTTTATATCAACAATGTGTCAGTATAAACCTCGAGACAATAATCTAATAGCTCAGATCAGAAGTTAAATGATGAGAATCCCCTCAAATGAAAGTTTGCTAGGCATCATGAATCCATCCGACTGAAAAGCACCAGCCAACTGAAGGTCAGACGACTAAAAGGCCATCTAGACGAATAAGGGGCAAGGATCTACACCAATACCTCTAAAATAAACAATTGGTCAAAAGTCTAATTCCCCCAATAATTCAACAGGTATCAATGCAAAGCTCACTTAATAGTTCCCTTAAAGATCACCAGAGATCACCGAGGAAAAGTAATCAGGCAAGCTGATCAGCTGCCCTTAGGTCGATCGACTACCACACTCAAAAATTGATTGGCTTCCCAGAGCGAAGGCCGGTCAATGTCTAGACAAATAGTCAACTGAAACCAACTCAGTTTTTCAACCCGAGGACCTGCAGGACAAAATTTACAGGCACACATAAAGACAAAAATAACCTATAATGCCATGTTTACAGTAGTGGCAATGTTTTTCGACCCGAGGACCTCTAGGACAAAATTTACAGGCACACATAAAGATAAAAATGACCCATAACGCCCTGTTTATAGTAGTGGCAAGCATGTAATTTTACATTATCCATCTATCTAATTTAAATGGGGGGATCATACAATGTATTGGAGGTCTTTTGGCTCTAAACTCTGTCTAGACTCATCCTCTCCAAGGATAACTCTCTCTACCATGTATTAGTGGCCTTTTGGCTATTCTCTCTCAAGAAGCATCCTCTGTAAGGAAACCCCTCTCCCCATCTTTCAAATAACTGCAAATTCCAATTATAATATGGGTCACTGAGCCCGAAAATACCTCAATTTGTCATTTGTGGTGCATTCTCTCTTCTCTCTGCCTCATGTATAAATTTATGATACCAATGTTTTTTAAGTGTAAATATCAAACTTTGGGTGTTAGATATCTAAATACATCAAAATTGTGTGGTATGTATGTATATTTCCCTTTATTTATTTTTTCAGTTTGTGCTTAAAAAACGTCTAAAAACCTTTAATTTATCAAAAAAATAATAGAAATATTGTATATAGTATCGTGTAAGAACTTCAATTTCTTAAACTTTGAATTAGATTATAAAAAAACTCTAAATTAGATAAAATATTTTGCTAATTTTTTTTTTCATTTCTTATTCACATGTGATAATTCATTTTAAAAACCACAAGATTAATTTAACATCCAATGGGACCAACATTTAAAACATCTCAATCATTCACTCAATGGTGACATTGATGGAGGATTGGAACAAAATTATAAAATTTCATTTATTTAAAGCTGATAAAGGCCGATTACACTTTTTTCTAGCCAAAGAATTACTCACCACTGTTACCAAACCATCTTAGTTGTCTGACAATGAAGATAGTATAATCAGTGCTCTGACCTCATCATCAAACTTGATCCCCACATAACACAACTGACTCATCACAGTGTTAAAGTTATTGAGATGCTCTATCACTGAATTATCTTCCACCATATTCATGTTGAATAATTTCTTCATCAGAAAAACCTTATTAGAAGCAAAAGGTTTTTCGTACATCTTGGTCAGTACTGCCTTGAGATCCACTATAGTCTCCTCATTCACAATGTTGAATGCAATAGATAAGAAAAGTGATAACTTGATCAAGTCGAGTGTTGTTTGATCCAACACTTCCCATTCCTCCATAACAAAAACTCGGACTTCCTTGTGATTTCTTATAGTGGCAATTACAAAATTTTTTTGATACAAAAAATCCTCCATCTGCATCTTCTAGAAAGCAAATTTCATCCCATATAACTGAATTGAGCCCATCTCTGATACAGTTTGTTGGGAGAAACTACTCCAAAAGAATCTACTTATAGTTTCACTGTGAAATAGAATCACGAGATTTGAGAAAATCGGAACAAAAAATTTAAGCACAAAAGTAAAATCAAAACAACCAAAAAAATGCACGAGAATTTTACGAGGAAAAACTTTAGAATCGGAAAAAATCACGGAGCGACATCACGATAAATTTACAATGAAAATCAGGTAGTTTTACAAAGAACTCACACAAGTTTTTTCTCCACACTGACACGAAGGAACTTACAAGACGCTCCACAATCTTCCTTCTCTAATCTGACATGAATAATTGATGCACCCCTAGTATGTTTTGTTTTTCTGCATATTTTATGTCAATTTAAATCTCTGATACAGTGCGAAAAACTTAATCCATCCCAAAAATACGCAGTAATTTAATTTTAAAAAATATGACAAAAAACTTGACCCAATTTATATTAAAAATTTATATTAAACAATTTATATTAAATATTTAATGAGCAAGATTGAAATGTTATATAAAATATATAAAATAGTTCACACACTAGGAGCTCTACACAGGTGCACGTATCGCTTCAAGTAATATAGGGTTTTTCTTAAAAACCTCAGTATCGATCCCACAGAGAAACGTAGTAAGAAATCCCTTAGGCTAACTCTAATCTACTACTATCAAGTCTTAGTTTGAAATATGTAAATTCTTATGATAATAACATAAATCACAATATTCAAACTATAAAAATTAAAGTAAGAAAGACAAATTAAAATGGGTTTAATGAATGCTAACAGAAATGTAACTAAAAGAATAAAACTAATTAAACTAATTGCTAAACTTTCAAAAGTAAACTTACGAAAACTAAACAAAGTTTTGGTGACGAAGAGTTCAAATTTAAGAAAGCATCATTTCTCTTTACAATGAGTATATGGATTGTGAGGAAATTGAAATCATTTGAAAATAATACAAAAATTGTTTTGTGCCAAATAGGAGCAATCATGTTATTTACCCTCTTGTGAGTGTTATAAAAAACATTAACTAATCCGGAGTTTGGTCCCTAATTCCGTGGTTAGGTTGGGAGGATACCAGTTGCCACACTCGAGCTCCCACTACTCCCTCCCCTAAGGGCTAACAATCTCGCATCAGTTTCCAATCAACTGGACCAAATTGTGGATTTTAATCTGTCACCTTATATTCTCCAATTCTGCATCCAACAAAGTACATTTCTCTATTTATTTGCACTTAACTCCATGGATGACATCCCCTCCCAAGGGATCGAATGGGATTCTCCCCATGTTGTAGAAATCATAGTCCTTTTAGAACATATGTTTCTCAACACATTTTAACCTTTCAATTAGCCTTATTTTAACCTTTCAATTAGCCACATCAAAAAGTAAATAAAAATCAGAGTTCAAATCATCACAAATTATTGACATTTAAAACCATATAAAATAAAATCAATTCTTTACAAAACCAAATTTCTTTGTAGCGAGAAGGATAAAGAAGACTAATCAAAATCCATGAGAATGATACGACAAAACACAAATTTCATAAATAAAAACAAGTTTACAAAACAAAAAAAGAAAATAACACAACTTGTCTCACACTCCTTCCCAAACAAATCCCTAGAAGTTTCTTTTAAGCACTTTCTCTCTTTATAATCACACTCAATTCTCTCCTAGAAATGTAATGAAGAAGAAATATCTCGCATTCCATCTCCTCTTAAAACCCTAGAAGAAAATCCTCTCCACACACACACACACACTAGACTCCTCTCTTTTTAATTAGGGGCTGCCTCCTTCCAAAAGAAATTCAAAATTCCCTCCAAGTTTTATTCAAAAGTCAACCCTTTTGAATTCAAAAGACATGTCTATTGATCCAAGAGACATATCCCTTCATAAAGAACCTTCCAAAGTGTCTAGATGCATTGAATCACTCCATGGAGTGTTTAGAACAAGTGTCCTTTTGAAAATTTGCCCAAAATTCATCCCAAACCGCCTTAATCCGCAAAAAAGTCATATCTGGCGCATCATGCGCCACCCTGCAACAACTCCACTGTTTTGCTTCGTTTTAACTTTGATTTGCTCTGTTTCAGTTGTGTTTCGCTCCTAACAGATATACCTACAAAATAAACATGAAAACAACCTTTTTTAAAAGTATAATTTCATTCAAAGACATGTGATAAATGTAAAGTAGATTAAGCATAGAAAGACGTATCGAAATGTGTCAAGTCAGAATTTTGTTTCTTGCTCGTTTTTGCTCTAAATTGCACTATTTTTGCTTCATGCTCTCCAAAAGTCCATTTCCTTGTACCTGAAACCAAAAATATGCAAAATACATTCCTTTAAAGTGTAATATCATTAAAAATCATTAAAATTGAGCATAAAAAATATATAAAAAAGTAAATAATTGCTGACCTCGCTTTTGGTTGAAGTCTAGTTTCCCTGCTTAGTA